GAAAGAGTGAATGAAAAAGTAATTTTAAATATAAAATTTATTTTAAAAATAAATACATTAAAAAATCAATAAATACATTGAAAAGACATTTAAGAAATCTTTTGGATAAAAAAGGAAAAAGAGATGTATATGTTAAAATCTAAAGGTATATATATCATTTACCTATTAAATATAAGAGTGATATACATCATAAGCCTTTTGCCCACATAGATAAGGTTCAACATCATCCTCAGCTTGAAGGGCCTTTGAAAGTTTACAATTTGGATCAGGCTTTCTAGGTTCCAATCCAGAACACATTTTTTTTAATTTTTTTTTTTATGATCAATGTTAATTACAAAGCTTCCTTTGTATCTTAACGGAGATTTTCTTCCTACGTCAGTCTTTCTTTTGCCTCACACCTATTATTTGTATAAATTTTCTAAGATACCTTTACTTCAACACATATTCCGAAATACTCGATTCTTAACATTTACTTTCAAACACTCATTTCAAAATAATGTCTCTCTCGCTTTTTATTTTATCTATAAAATCTTTTTGACTTTTGCTTTAAACACAACACACTACATATCTTAATTGCACCCATGAAAAGGTCATTCCAAAAACATGTTTGTACCTGCACAGGATACATTTAGTGCTTGGTCTTGTACTCCTTCCTATGCTTTTTTAGATTGATTCTCTTTGTTGAGAGAAGTACTTGCAAAAAACATTTTTCCGTTCAAGGAAGACACTTACTCGAATATTAAATGCTAGTAAAAATAAACAGTCATTTTTATCTCAAAGTACACTATCATTTATAGTATACTAACCATAATGAGTCCTTGACCTGATGAACTTACACTCCTATATTACCTAATAGTTAACATGCTTGAAGGGGGATTAACTTCACTAATCATGATAAAGTCGTTGTTACCTTGAGTTCATTCAATCCTTTCTTGGTTCTCGACTATCATATGTTATGTTCTTAGTTCCGATTGGTTGCATATTCAAAAGGAACATTCTCCTCCTCTGTTAGTTATGCCACCTCATGGATACACTTAGAGCATCTCCAATGGGGATTGCTTATAAACAATCCCCTATGCCACATCACTGCCACATCAGTTCTGACTCACTTTATGGTTTGCTTAAATTTTAGTAGAGTTGTTTCTACAAGCAACTCTGCTAAAATTTAAACAACTCATAAAGTGGACCAGAGCTGATTTGGCAATGATGTGGCACAGAGAGTTGGTTATAAACAATCCCCATTACAGATGCTCTTAGGATATACTCTAACTGAATTCCCTAGACAAGCCAAGGGTTGCCTTTGGAAATTGTCCGACTAAGGGTCTTTGGTGTCCTTACTTTTAGTAATTCAATGAGCCTTTGAATAGCGATTACTCCGCTAAAAGGCCCATTCGGTATACATGACTATTCGACCAGAGGCCATCTAATATAATGTTATATACTTTTATTTTTTATATTTCAAAAGACCATTTCAGAACCCTTTTTTAATTTTTGGATGAGTGTTCTAGAATACATTTTTATTCTGGATTAGGTGTTCTAAAACACAATTTTAAGAATCTCGAATGAATCTTTTAAAACACATTCAATATTTGAATGGGTGTATTAACAATATCTCAAAATAGATTTTCCAAAACACATTTAGCATTCTAGTGTTCTACATATGTTCCAGATTAGGTGTTCGGAAAAGTGTGGTTAAAGTAAGGGTACTGTAAAAACAATTGTAAAAAGACGGGTATACGAGACAAAACAACGGGGTGCAGGAAGAAAATTCTATCTTAATGTTATTGAAGAAGTATTAGGCTAGTAGCGATTGAAGGATAGTTCAATCTTCACATCAAACTTTGAGTTGATAGTACAATCAACGTGGTACATTGAGCTTGTATGTAGCAAGAGGACAGGTGCTACCCTGGACCACCTTTATAGGTGGTGTACGGTGCACCATTTTTATGAGCCGTTAGATTCATCTCGTTTTCAAAGTAATAAGGTGCACATGCGGTATCTGGTTTTTCTTATTTTTGTTCCTCCATTGCCTGGTCCCTTTGTCTGCACCTGGATTTTTCATATCATTTTCACCACTCTTGCAGAGTCTCATTCCCTCATTCGAATCTACAATGGTTCAAATTACCAAAGCAGAGATGTGGTTCCAAAGCAGAGATCCTTTGAAATAAAATCAAGTCATTTATAACTAAATTATATCCAAGTTATTATAAGTTACAACAAATGCAGTTGCAGTGTAATTGTAATATTCATATGTTTATGCTCCCACCATACTATATCAAATCTGAATATGGAGAATGAATATGATGTAAAAAGTGCACCAAAAGAATGAGGGTGAGATTAATCTGATGGTTTTAAAATTATGGTGCACTATTATGGAAAGATGGTTCACTGTAGTCTCCGTCTGAGAGAAGAGTTTTCTAATGAGACTTCCTTTAGAGACCTCTATATTTTCTCCAACATTAACGGTGTCCATCTCGTTATACTTGCACCAAAGGCTTTTGATTTTCTTTTACAATACTTTCAAAAATTGTTCTGAAGATATCTTGTTTGGAAACAAAAACGTTAAATATCATATAAGTGATTTATTATTACCTCCATATGCTTGCATTAAAAAATGTTATATGGTAGTATTTCAAAAGCATTAATGTCAGATGCGGTTGAGGATATTTCAAATCTCAGTTGCAAATAATAAACGATCTCCTGTTTTATGTGTAACAAGATGTAGTTTACATAAATGCAGGGAATGAAGCTGTCACATATAAGTAATTTTAGATAAAAAATGATTTCTCCAATTTATATTTAAAGGAGTGAAATAATCATGATTTTACAAGACATTCATATCCCTCCCAAACAGAACCCAGTACATATGTGTTCAGTTCTTACTAGCTCCACCCGTTATCTTTACAACATATTGGTGAGGTTAACACTGACCAAGCCATGCGGATATATTAAAGAGCAGCAGACACAAGAAATGTGCGAATCCTCTGCAACAACTCAGCCTTTACGGAATCAGGAACGGAGGCTGCAAAAAATAAATTCTCTATCTTGTTAGTTGGACATTTTAGTGCAAAAGAAAACCAACACCGTGGCATAATTGCTCAGTTTCTAATGCTCAAACACATAATACTCTGCTCAATAAGGACTACTTGAAATATTTCTCAATACTAGATTAAGATTTCCTTGCGTGGTGTTGACCTAATGAGGTGTTTCAACCAAGTATATGCAAATTTTCTATATGAACAACAACAAAGTTTTATCCTGCTGGTGAGACTGGTTACTTGGATCATATGATACCATTAAGCTCGGTAGTTTTTAAAATGCAGAAAAGAAAAGTAAATCAAATTTTGAAACAATTAATTACCTACCTCGGCCCTTAGGAGTAATTACATGTACAAGTTCATCAACAGTAACATTATTCCTCCCTTTCTTCTTCACAACGGCTCTGCATTAAAAGGTACAATAAATTCCAACTACACACAAACAAGTGTGAACTAAAGAATGAATATAAGAAGGCAGAAATAATAAAAAAAAGAACAACGGGAGATAAAACAGCAAAGTTGACAGAACGTAAGGGGGATAATATTTGATATTACCGATGGAATCATTTTGTGTAAACAATCACAGGGTCCTAGTATTAAGTGCCAACTAAAAGCATGTACCAATGAAACTAGCACTAGATAGACAAAGCAGGCACCAAACAAAAGTAAAAGTAATTCACTAATTCCTTCTGCCAAACAACACAACTTGCATAGAAAAACAAGCATAAGTTGCATCTACATGTCTATACAGTTATAGAGAAATTGGAGCATGATACATCCTTTTTCAGCCAGTACAACATGAAACAACTTGAACTTGTTTAGGATAGGACATAATCATAGTGATAAAAATTTCATTTATAATTCAAAAGTGTGGCAAACTGCCTCTAGTCTCCGATATTTTAAAGTTTAAGCCAAAAGAGCATAATGTCAGGTGCCTACAGTGCCCGAACCTTTCATGTCTTTGTCAATAAATACCATGTGAAAAACAAATTAAAGGGTATAAACATTTTTTTTATAATGACATATAAACGTTAATTATTTCATTGTTACAGTAGACATATTAATAACGTTGTTACTATTGTATTAAAAGTTTTATTAATTATTTGCCAATGGACTATACAAAGAAGTGACAGGGTGAGTCTTATCTTAACAAATAGAGGACAATTTCAATTTCTATTCCCTGTATTTTACTTTTTACCCAGTCTTCTTCTAGACATTGTTCGTGATACTGTGTGTAAATCTTGAGGATCAAACCAAATTTTGGGTTGCTCAACACAGTATTATATTTCATTCTTTTTCTAAGAAAAGCTTCTAACATGTGTAAAAACAAAACTTTTTTATGGTGCAACATTAAGCAAGAGTATTATACACTAATTAGTGAGTAAAAAAACCTGCAGAGAGATTTCATTTCATCCTTCCAACCACAATCAACAAGCCTTTCCCTCAACAGCTCCATGAGGCGCTCCTTCTCTCCAGTCTCGATCAACTGAGCAGGAAAACCAACAAACAACACATAAAAAACTAATCTTTCAAAACCCATAACCACTGACAAAAAAGTAAAAAAGTGGAACTTGGAAGTTGAAAAACCGACTAAAAAGAAAAGACGAGGGAACCTTAATGTTGATGAGCTCTTGAAGAGTGGGTTCCCTCTCAGGGGCATTTTCGACCACATCTGGTGTGGGGGGTCGATTCACCGAAGCCTTCGGTTTCCTTGCGTTTCACAAAACAAAGAAAGAAAGAAACAAACCCTATTACGTGTGATGGTGAAAGCTTAAGAGGATCGCAGCAATTTATGTTTTAATTAGAAAAAAAGGGTTCGAATTGTTTGGATTTGAAGAAGGTAGTGTGGATGGTGAGTGCTCACATGGTTCGTTGAAGAAGTTGCAGAGACGATGAAGTGGATCGCTCTGTCGCCTATGCCCTGTCTCGTGTCTTCGCTTTTCTCACTGCCAAACTTTGTTTCCTTTTCACCTTGAAACCACGAGTTGTTTGGAAATTGGAAATTGGAATTTGGAACCAACTTATTTTATATGATAAATTATAATATTTTCTTATTTTAATTTTAAGATTTACTTTCATTTTTTATTTTTTAAAAAGTTGTTTTTTGATTATTTCTTTAAAGTAAGGTCATTTAGGTTTTTTTTTTTTTTAAATTTTAAAAAGTTATCATTTTCAATTTTAAAATATCATTTTGAATTCTTTTTTTTTTTATAACTGATATAAGATTGTAAAACTGTTTCCATTTGGTTGTTTGTTTGTTGAACTCATTTTCCCATAGTTTTTATTTTGTTTATGACTTTTTTTAGCTTCATGTGAATTAAATAATTATCATGTAGGTGAATTTAATAAGATGAGTGCAATATATTAAATCATTTAAAAAGGAATTTATCTGACTTAAATTGATGTAAGTGCTTAGGAACTCGCATTTAATCAAGTGGTCAAAGATCATAAAAAATATTTGTTGATTTAAAAAACATAAAGATTAAAAAAAATTGTTAATATTTAAAAAACATAAAGATTAAAAAAATGTTGATATTAAAAAAATATAAAAATTTCAATGTTGAATTTTGTGAGATTTTTTTAATAGAATTTATATATAATTTACTCGTCTAGTAATCTTACAATTTTTTTTGAGATTTTGCAAAAAAAAAAATCATTTTGTTTGCCTGTCTTTTTTGTTTTTCTATTTTTACTCTCTGTTTCCTAACTCTGTGTTTGGTTGTGAGGAGAGAAATAGAGTTAAAAGAAATAGAAGAGAAAATAATAAGGAAGTAAAAATAAGATTATTTGATTTGAGAAAAATAAGTAAGAAATAGAAGAAAAATAACATTATAAAGTTGTTTGGTTTGGATGGAGAAAAAAGAAATTATAATTAATAATTAAATTACAGTATCACCTTCCACTAAAATTGTTGTGTATTCAAATAAACATGTTTATTCGAATAAAAGTCCACTTATTCAAATACATACAACTATTAAAAACCCTCTTATATTCGAATAAAACAAATATTTTATTCGAATAAACCACATCTATTCAAAGCCCTCCTATTCAAATAATCCCTAGATGCTGAGAACACGAATTGATCTAAACTTCGCGTGCAATGCACTGTCTTAAATGCGAACTTATCCATAGACTCCCACACAAATCTCCCAAGATACAATAGGATTTTTCTGGTACTAAACTAGAGATGCAGAACTAGTAAGTTTTTAACTAGAAAAGAGGAAGGGAGCAATGTTCCGTACTTCTAACTCCTACTAAATCTTAATATTTATAGGATTAATCATAATAATTAAAATCAATTAATTTTGAAACATTTGATCATTAAAATTATAACAGTTAAATTATTATATTTCATTAAAATTGATATTATTAATTAAGCTTTAATACCAATAATTAATAAAATAATTATTTTGAATTTAAATTTAAATTTAAAATAATTTCACAAATTAATTAACCTTTAAAAATATCTAAAATATACAACAATCTCCCACATATTTCAAAAGGTTTTAAAAAACATTTTGGACTCTCATAAAGGATGTAACGCATTGGACTTAGTATAACAAGCTATTGAACCAAATCTAAATTGATAAAACTTAATACACAGTGTAGCAAGTGTAGAAAACTATTGAACCTAAAATACTTGGTGTGTATGAGAGGTAAACTAATCACAATACACCCCCACAATTGTTGTAGTTATCGCCATATTACGCTTTCAGGCCATGTGCCCGTTCGATATTCATGAGTGCCTTAGAGATCTTGCTAAGATTTCATGCAAACATCCCTACTTGATACTCATATAGGTAATTTCATCAAGTATATGCTACAAATCATACGCCACTTATAAGAGATATGAAAATCATTAAAATCTTTATAAGAGTTAAACTTTCTCATAATTACATAAAGTTCAACTATAAAGATTATCTTCTTATTAAAGCAACTTTATCATTTTCTCACATCATAGGAAGAGATTAAAAAATTTAATTTTAGTGCTAACAAAATTAACAAGTAACTTGTTTTTCCCATTAAACCTTCATGGGATCTCCAATCACAAAGGTTGGGTTACCATCTCATTTTCCTTGATGTTTATAAATAACTCACAATGTTTCGTAAATAATATCTTCCCTTTGAAGTAAAGGATTGACCAAATCCATCACTAATTACACAATTTTTAATCTTTTTAAACAATTACTACATCACATCATTTCTTAATTTTATATTCTCAATATAATATTTGGTAATAGGTTCTCAATTACTAAGCCTCATAATCAACCATCTCTAGAGCAACAAACTTTACTTCAATAATTATTATTGATCGATCTCAAAGTAATTTCACTACAACAAAGTGTAATGACATAACATTAGTGAATTTTTTCTCATATAGGTCCAAAACTTAATTAATCATCATTGTATTTTCTAATACAATAAAAAGTCCATAATATTAAATACCATAGAACCTTCTAGATCCTTTGTTGATCTAAGTAGTTGTAGTAGATTGGTGGATTCAAGCTTCCTAGAAGTTCTATTATCCCTTCCCTTCTCTCATTTATGACTGATTCAAAGAAAGGAAAACTTGTTGGCTTATAATTGTTGAATAATTTTTGTTGATTTCTGCTCAGATTCATTGTTTATAGCTTTATTGTTGAATTGAGATATGAATGGAATTTTGAGTTTTGGGTGTTCTTGCACTTCTTTGAAGAAAATGATGACCTATAGATCTTCTATGATTGCATGTTGTTGCTTTTAGTGGAATTGAGTCATTTATGATGTGTGGATGCTTGATTGTTGGATGCATGCTAGTTTGAGTTGGATTTTTGCAAGTTGAGTGTAGAAATTATCATTGTCCTAAGCATGACTTCATTGACATCGAACGTGAGATAGGTAGTGTTAAATATGAGTTAGAAGAGGGCTCTCTGACTTAGTCACGTCAGGCTTGGGTTGAGGGATGCTAGGTGTGATTTACTTATGAGTTCTCTCACTTGACAACGTTGGGTGTAAGATTGGTGACATCGAGCGTGATTAGGTTAGTGACACTCTACTTAAATGACATCAGACATTAGTGTTGTGGCGTCAAACGTGGGTTAGGTAGATGCTCTCTACCTAAATAATGTCAAATGTGGGTTTTGTGATGCCAGATGTGTGGTTTACACAAAGACTCCCTATCTCATTCAAGTTGTACACAAGTGGGAGGGTGTAAGGCATGGGAGAACCAAAGGATTTTTGCCTAATTAGTGTCAGTTGTGGATTGAATGGTGTTAGACGTGGTTGAGTTGAATGACATTATAACATAGTTGATTTTAAATGTGGATTTTTGATGATAGTTTACTTCATATGATGATGTTTTAATTTAAGTACGTTGATGTTAAGAAAATAATTCAAATTTTCAATTTTAGATCTCAAAGATATTGTTCAAATACAGAAATATATTATTTATCTTTAGGATATTGTTTAAAATAAAAAGTATTATATTTATTTTAGAGATTTGTTTCTTCTTTTAATATCAAGATGTTAGGTCAATAAATAGAGACTTTTGAGATAAGAAGAATTATCTGACTTGTAAAAGAGCTCACCACCTTAAATGAGAGAAGTGAGAAGGAGGGTTCCTGATTCCAAGTTTTGCCAAAAAGCTTGTGAGGGAAGGGTTTCCAAGTTTTACCCATAAAATTTGTGAGGAAAGGGTTTCCAAATTTTATCCATAAAATTTGTAAGAAGAGATTTTCAAGTTTCATCTACAAAACTTGAAGGGAAGATTTTCACAAATATATATGTGTAATACATTTTTAAGATAATGGATATTCTCCTGAACATAAGCATGAAGGATCAAACCACATTAAATAAAATTTTGTGTAATCTTTTTCTATTTCTTTTTAGTATTGACTTGTTTGTGTTCTCTCATCATTATGCATAAGAGAAGGAGAATTTTCGTTCTCAACACTTGATTATCATTAGAGTTGTATGATACTTGTAATATTCTGGATACCCAAAATGAAAGGCATCTAGAGATTTGTACGAGTGTGTGAGACTGTGCAATTGATGATAGCTAAAAAAATTAATTTGTATTACCTATACCAATAAGATGCATCTACTTTTCGGTACCTCATCACAAAAGAACTTCATAGTTAAGCATTCTTGTCTTAGAGCAATTTAAAGATGAGTGACCTTCTAGAAAGTTTCATAGAAAATATGCGAGTGAAGACAAAATACATTGAAAATTTTTGTATTGATTTGTGAGAACAGTCATTGATTAAAGGTGACAAAACATCTAAAAAAATGCTAAACTAAGAAGGTTTTTATTGATGAATATGTTGTAGTGATTTAAGAGTCTAATTGTTAAAAAATCCCTTTTAGTATAATTGTTTCTTGAAGTGACAATGCATTATATTATTGTGTTTCTATATTGCTGTGTTGTGAAGTAGTTGTAGTATGAGTTGTTAATGTGTTAAAAGTAAAGTATAAGTGTTTAAATAAAATATATATATTTTTAATTACAAAATAAAAAATTAAATTTAAAAGTAGAAACAATATTAGAATAATATTGTTCATAATATATTAAAAATTAAAAATAAATTACATGCAATTATCGTGTATATACATGCTTAAATGCATTTTTGGTCACTCTATTTTTTTTTATTAATCTACAATTTTATTCTTTTATTTTAAAATAAATATATTTAGTTTTCATATTTTTAAAAATATAACATTTTAGTTCTAACATCAATTTAATATTCATTGATCATGAAATTTTAATGTTATTTAGTGACTTGTTACTATTCTAGATCTTCATTTGTATTTAGTGATGTGACATTTAGAAATAATTTAAAAATAACATAAAAGATCTTTATATTTATTTTAATGAGTGATTAATTTTTATTTTTTAAATAAATATTATTTGCATGATATTTATAAAAAGATAATTATCCTAAATATTATGTCACTTAAGTATAAATAAACATGAAAGTTTAACAATTAATGATTGTCAATTTAACAAAGGACTAAATTTTTTATATTATTATGAAGACTAATTATTTTAATTTTAAAATTAGAGGAACAAAATTACATGTTAATGAAAATAGAAAGACTAAAATTATAATTTAATTATGTACATAAAAATAATTTAAATTATCTAAATATAAAAAACTAATTATTACCTTAATTATTTTAATTAATATTCTTTATTTTATTTGTCGTTTTAGTACTAAATTAACTAGGGCTAGCGATAGAATTAAAAGAATAATAAGAAAATGTCAAGAATTTGAAAACAAAAGATTTACAAAAATTAAAACAAGATTGAACGATATTTGCGTGAACCCCGAGCAATATCTGCGGGAACTAAAATATATCTAAACATTTTCTTTTTACTTTTAAAAAACTACGCTCAACAATATCAAAAATTTATGTTCATCAATGCAAGAATTACAAGTAATGTCAATATTTTAAAGGCAATGCATGCAGTTTAAAAAAAAATACAGTTTTTTATATAATTTAATTTTTTTTTAGTAAAGTATATACTATTTTTTAAATTTAATTTATATACAATGTCAATGCAAAAAAAAATAATTAAATAGACGTTTAATTAAATTTCATTATCTTATTATATTCCCTCTCTCTCTTTTTATTTTTATTTTTATTTTTATTTTATTTTTATTTTATTTTATTTATTTATTTATCAAGATCTTATTATATTCTATTCATTAATATGAGGTTGCAATATGGTAAAAAAAAATTGTACATATGAAAATGTTTTATACTAACAATGCATATATCTTAACTTTTGGTTTTTGCTTGTGCTATTGTTTTGGTACATGTAATATGTTTATTTAAAAATATTAAGATATTTAATATTATAATAAAAATGTATTGAAACTTAATATTATTATGTTAATAATTTTTTTAAAATATACTTGTGTTGTTAAATTTATTTCAGTTTAAATAATTTTATTGTGTTAATCATTATCAATATTTATTAGTAACTATTATTTTAACCAATATAATTGGTGGGATAAATATTTATTTTTCTTCGGAGTTAAATATTTAGTTTTTTTTTATAATGATATCAATAAACTGTTGATCTACTAAACTCAATCTTCTTAAATAAGATTTTGAGTTTGCATCTTTTATATATATATATATATATAATCATGTTATTGATATGAAATATTTATCAATTTAGTCAATAACTATATCACATATCACATTGGCATTGCTGGTGGTTGATGTGAGATGTTTAGTTTTGATATTTCTCTTCATCTAAATTTTATAATTCAATAGTTCAAAATAAGTTTAATCTATGAAATCAGGGACAAATCTACATAGAGAATAGTGGGAACACTTTCTCTCACTACCATTTTACACATATTTTTTTACCTAGAAAATAAAATATTTTAAAAAATAGGTTTTATATTCTAATAAAATAAACATATATATTTAAATTGTCATATGTATAAAATATAAGTTCAGAAGAAATATTTATTTATTTAATATTTGTCAAATTTTCGAAGAAATATAAATTAGTTCTCATATGTGATAAAAAATACTCCTTAATAACGAATCAATTTTTTTAAAAAATTTTAATTATAATATATATATATATATATTAATGCTCACATATATAAAATAATATATTAAAAAAATTAATTTTTAATAAAATAAAATTTACAACATGTATGTCTATCTTTCGTACTTTTTATTTATTGTATATGTTAATTAAAAAAAATCAAAATAGGAAAAATTGAAAGATTTATGTTCTATTTAAAATTTTTATTATAAAATATATTTTAAAATAAATTATCATCTAAAAATTTATATTAGATATTAAAAGCATGTTTATATTATAAATGAATTAAACTTAATTTTTATATAATGTAATACATTTTTTTTTATATTTTTATTAGTGTTAAATTATTATAAAATGAATTCTTAGGATTGTAGTTCTAACTGTCTATGATAAATAAATAAGTCATATTTAAGACATGTATTTTTTAAAAAAAAGTTAGGTTCATATTTATTAAATTATAATATAACCTAATATGACTTAATTTTTTTTCATCTTTAATCATAATTATAGATATAAAAACTTGTAAAAAATAATTATGATATATATTTATACTTTTAAAAATTATATATAAAATTTTTAATACTACAAATATATGAATAAGTATTGTCTTTATTATCTAAAATTTTTGAATCTATCACTGTATGAAACATGAGCAAAACATTGAAAGAATTTCCTATTTCTTTTCTAGAGCTAATGATCGGAGATCCTTCGTAGTTTACTCAATTATCACATTGTCAATTATGCATTTCTATTCAACGACAATTGTGTGAGGTAAACACAAAATACATGGCCAATAATAATATGCCAGCAACGAAAAATATACATACAAACAAAGCTGACCAACTTCCACGACAGGCACAAAAGCACCTGTCTCAGCATTTGGAGAAGAAAAAAGCTCCTTCAATCATAAGATGGAGCAAGGCATTCATCAACCATATCCAAAAGATTTGGGTTTTCCAGTGCAGCTGCCACACGCTCTTTATCATTTAATTGTTTGTTAACTGCATATACATTTGTGACACAAAATTTAAAATGCAATAGTATGAATGTCCAGTCATGATCAATGATTTATAAAAAGAGAATTCTAGAAAAGTCCGAGGCAAATTCAACAATGCATTGACTAGTGTGTTTGAAAAGACACTTTAAGATCTTATAAGCTGGTTTTATAAAAAATTAAAGCCTGTTTGTTCATGTGGCAGGAATGCTTGTGTTT